ATACAAACATTATCTACAAATCTGTTCATTAAAAAATTATCAATGTTCTTAACCGAATGATTGTTAATTTTTGGCTGGAAACCCATGTATTTCCGCGTATATCATCACGCGCGTAGCGCGGCAATATTGGAGTCAAGCGGGTTGGCTGTCGTGAACGTTAGATGGCGAAACGTACAATTTCAAAATGTATGTACAACATTCTAGTTTTAAGTTAAGTACCTTTTTAAGCACGTCCTTAAGGTCTATTTCACTCCCCATCACGCACTTTGGTAAGTACAGATCTACTTCGATCACGGATCCACGCTCCAAGATGTCGGTTAGGTTCATATTCTGCAATTTCTCCTTGAGCTCAGGCAAACCATCGATTTCGTCCGGAACTATAATGATCATGCTCAGCTCTCCACCCTGTAAATTCGTTCGTTCGGTGTCGGTACTTCGGTAAAATCCAGTGAAAGCGTCCCGAAGTTTACCTCGTACGGGATCTCAATGAATTTAGCTCTTATATCCTTTAACTCTCCGTATCTGTAGTGACCACGACGGTACATCGTACGAACTTCCTTACTCGTATCCTTAGTAAAATAGAACGGTTTGTTTTGGGTAGAGAGTCTTTCGAAACTATCTAGCCATTGTCCCCTGAAGTATACCGCGTTAACAAGTACCATCGTCGTCGCCTCATCTAAATCATCTATTTAAAGAAAATAGTGTAAATGAAAGTGTATTTCTGTGCGAGGCTGAACAATAGAAGATTTTTACGCGCGAACCTTCTGAAATAAAATTTCTCATAATATTGTTCGTACTCCTTTCGACCCATTCGTTAATTATGTTCGCAGCTTCTGTAGTTTTCTTAAAATCTACTTGTTGCATTGAGGAACGGAAGTAGGTCTCCATCAACTTTTTGTAAGTCGATTTCACGAGACATTTCTCAGTTACAAAAAGTTTGTTGGCGACGTAAATCATGTTACCTTGAATGTTCTGAATATAAAAAGATATGAGGCAATACATGGAATATCGACAATATATTATATATTGGGAGTTCAAATTAGTTCGATCCATTTTTGAAACATGGCTCTGGTTATTATGAATGTTTCATAACGATGGCTGATTTCAGCGATCACATGTAAAGGAAAGGAATGGTTTCGACGTTTCAAGAAAGGTGATTTTAGCGTTGAAGACAAGCCTACTTCTGGACAGCCAAAAAAATTCAAAGACAAAGAATTGGAGGCATTACTCGATGAAAATCCGAGTCAAACGCAAGAGGCACTTATAGAATCATTTGAAGTGACTCAACAAGCAGTTTCCGTACGATTGAAATCCGTGAGAATGATATAAAAACAAGGCAATTGGGTGCACAAGACGTGACAAGATTATTCTTCTGCATGACAATGCTCAGCCTCATGTCGCAAAAGTCGTGAAAAAATATTTGGTAACGCTCAAGTGGGATATTTTATCGCGCCCGCCATATTCTCCGGATATTGCTTCTTCTGA